CCCCCCGCCCCTAGGTAATTCTGCCTGGACAGACGTCACATGGTTCCCACCCTGGTCCCCCATTGGCCGAGCATTGGGGGCGAACACAAATTCACTCCCGCGTCGACCATTTCCGGGGCCTTGAGGCCAGAGCTGAAGCTGCGTTCGGGTCGCTGCCCCTGCCCCGGCGCCAGGTGGTTCCTGCACCCGGACCAACCGGGCCTGGCTCGTCGGCTCAGGTTTCTCCCGGTTCGGGGGCTGGCCTGGCTGGAGGCGAGACCCGAACCCGGGGCAGGGAGCAGGGTTCACGGGCGATGCGCCCACCTCTGGCTCTGACGCGAGCGTGATGCGGATCTATAACAGCCAGGGACACGGGTCGATCCCGCCACAGCTCAAAGCAGGTCAGAGCGGGGAGCCCGCCAGGAGACGAGAAATGGGGCAGGGGGAGGGGCCATGCTGGGGGAGGTGCGGGGAAGGATTACTGGGATGCAGACAGCCTGGGGGGGCAGGAATACAGACTCCACATGCAGCCACCTCTGGGTGGAGAGTGGGGGCTATTTATACAGGGATTCCTCACCCACCACTGAGATGCAGCCACCTCTGGGGCAGGGCAGCTGGTGACACAGGGACTCCTCGCCCGGCACTGAAATGCAACCACCTCTGGGGTGGGACGGCTGATGACACAGGACCCCGTGCCCGGCACTGAAATGCAGCCACCTCTGGGGTGGGGCGGCTGGTGACACAGGGACTCCTCGCCCGGCACTGAGATGCAGCCACCTCTGGGGCAGGGCGGCTGGTGACACAGGGACTCCTCGCCCGGCACTGAAATGCAGCCACCTCTGGGGTGGGGTGGCCGGTTATCCAGGGACCCCTCGCCCGGTGCTGAGATGTGGCCACCTCTGGGGTGGGGCAGCTGATTATACACTGACCCCTTGCCCGGCGCTGAGATGCAGCCACTTCTGTGGAGTAGCATCTGGGATCTTTTTTATATGGGGGACCCCCTAACCCGGCTCACTCTGCCCCAGGAGCGAGTACCCCTCAGGCCCAGGTGCATCCCTCTGCAGGACACTGCCGGGTCCGATGTCCCACTCACCACTTCTCCGTTCTTCTTGGCCAGCACCACGGTGCGGTTGGGCTCGCGGATCCAGGCGTGGTAGCGGCTGGGGAGATAATCCAGGCCCCCATAGATGCCCTTCGACATGGCCAGGATCTCCTCAAACTCCTTCTCTGTCGCCACCACGAACTGCAGCTGCGGGTCGCTGCTGATCCCCGGCTCCAACTTCATGCCCCTGGCTAGCGGGGTTGCAGGGAGAGAGCAGAGCCATGAGACCGCCGTGGGTGGGGGACATCCACGGACATCCACACACATCCACGCTGTAGCCTATAGGATTAACCTGTTTGCTTGCATAGATAGATCTTTTCTTATAGTTTAAGTCAGGGCTAGGCAACCTTTCAGAAGTGATGTGCCGAGTCTTCATTTATTCACTCTAATTTAAGGTTTCGCGTGCCAGTCATACATTTTAACGTTTTTAGAAGGTCTCTTTCTCTAAGTCTATAATATATAACTAAACTATTGTTGTATGTAAAGTAAATAAGGTTTTTAAAATGTTTAAGAAACTTCATTTAAAATTAAATTAAAATGCAGAGCCCCCTGGACTGGTGGCCAGGACCCCGGCAGTGTGAGTGCCACTGAAAATCAGCTCGTGTGCCACCTTCGGCATGTGTGCCATAGGTTGCCTACCCCTGGTTTAAGTATTTGATGTAGTGTAATAGGTTTATAAATGTATATTAAAAGTAAATATTAAAAGTTTGGCTGTAATGCAAGAGACCTACAGGCTAAAACCCTGTATGTTAACCTAAGGCAAAGTTAGCATCTCTATATTAAGACTTTTTACAGAAAGGAAAGTTGATCTTCATCTGGTTACCATAATATTAATATTATTTATTATTAATATTATTAATTTAATTAAATTACTAAATTACATTCCTATATTATCCAGATTAATATTATCAATACACCCTAAATCAGGCTACAGGCTGGCGAGCCAGGCAGGAGCTTTGAGGAGTGTGTGACAGGAATTGTCAGGGATTCCAGGCATCCTTCGACCCCTGAGAGTCTCACCCAAGACATAAGCAAATGGTTAAAGTTACAGAGATTGTGTCTTACTCACTCCTAAAAACACAGAAACCTGATTTCCTGTGGCTGCGGCTTGGCCGCAGTCCCAGTATTTCTGGCTCTGTTTTGTGGTTTTAACTTATAGGTTTTGAATTTAATCTTGCAAGATAAAAAGTAATATTCTAACGTAAGAGTGTTATTATTTAAAGAGCATTGTTATTTAATGTGATACGCGCATTTAAGGGGCTTTGTTGGAGGTGGAAGTTGTAACGAATGGCACCAATAAGATATTAGCAGTAGCATCGGGCCTGCTGACCCACACTAGTGGTGGCGGGGGAGTTGATATATCTATGTATTAATTGTCGCCAAGAGGCCACAATAACTCAGAACTTGTATAATTCTTCAGTCCCCCCTACTCTCCCGGGCTGCACCTCTGATCCATCTGCCGCAGTATCCCCAGCTGTTTGGCAGGTCCCGACAGAGGGAAAAAACCTCTCAATCAGCTATGAGCCATCGAGGGAAGAGAGGGGAACGTGCCCCCACCTCTCTATCGTTTATTTGGGACTTATTGACCTAAGTGTAAAACCGGTTTGGGGTATTATTTCCTGTCGTTTCTGGGAAGGGACGCCTTCAGTTCAGGGCCGGCTCTAGGTTTTTTGCCACCCCAAGCTCCGAGAGCGGAACCATCCAAGCAAAAAAAATAAAAAAACCCTCTGAGAGCAGAACTGCCCGGAATGCCGCCCCTGGAATTGTACTTTGCTGGTGCCTAGAGCTGGTCCCACTTCAGTTTCAGAGTTCATTATAGTTCATTACATAATCTCGTGACGTGTTAGAATTGGAGTGAGTTCTATGTTACGTGTTAAGGTAAGTGGAGTAAGGGCAAGAGTGGAGTCTGTTGGAGCTGCCCGCAGTCTGGCTTTAGAAAACTTTGCCAGAAAATACATTCAGGAACATGGAGGAGGTTTAGAACAGCTGAGAAATAGCGAGATGATTTCTGAGCATGGTAACCCATGGGGTTTTGTGAGTGAGGTATTTGATGTAGAAACAGAGCAGAAAAAGATCAGGACTCAACTGGTAAAAGGAAGAGCTGTTGAATGCCTGCTCGTGGCTTGTAGTTCGCTGGGAAAGAAATTGAATAAAAATGAGAGTTACTCAGGAAAGCCCAGTGAACTGTGGATGCCAGCCTAAAATCGCTGGAGGGCTCTAGATCAGACCGTGGTCGGCTGTTGGACAGAATCAGAGAGTTGAAAAGTTAAGAGATGTGTTAGAGGAGGATAAAGAATCGGTTCCCGTCCCTATTGGCACAGTGGAACCGACGGAGACAAAAAACTCTGCAGGGCCAGTTACTAGAAGTAGGGTAAGAGAATGAGCTCAGGTTAATACTGTACCTTTAGGAGCGGAGCTGGAGATTGGTCTGAGGAGCCGCAGGGAGAGTCAGGAGAGGAAGTTGGCGGTGCAGGAGATACCGGCCGTCTGCAGATAGAAAGTAAGTCTCAGGGTGGCACCACCGGAGGGGTTCATCATAGAGGAGGTGACTAGTGATGTAAAGGATGAGGTGAGCACAGCAAAGGGGGAGGAAATATCCTCTCCTCTGTTAGTGTCCGCCCCTGACAGTGAAGAGGGAGTGCCTTTAGAGACCGTGATTGTTCAAGGACTAGAACAGGGGTAGGCAACCTATGGCACACATGCCAAAGACGGCACACCAGCTGATTTTCAGTGGCACTCACACTGCCCGGGTCCTGGCCACCGGTCCGGGGGGCTCTGCATTTTAATTTAATTTTAAATGAAGCTTCTTAAACATTTTAAAAAACTTATTTACTTTACATACAACAATAGTTTCGTTCTATATTATAGACTTTTATAGAAAGAGACTTTCTAAAAACATTAAAATGTGTTACTGGCACGTGAAACCTTAAATTAGCGTGAATAAATGAAGACTCGGCACAGCGCTTCTGAAAGGTTGCCGACCCCTGGACTAGAAGATGCGGTGTCACAAGTGACACAAGTAGCTAGTGCTTGTGATGTAGTTATCTCTAGGTTACAACAGAGAGAGCTACAACAACCAAGGAATACGATTCATAGATTCTAGGACTGGAAGGGACCTCGAGAGGTCATCGAGTCCAGTCCCCTGCCCTCATGGCAGGA